ATAACTGGATTGAATTCCTCATTTCGAACGAAACAATTTCTAAATACTATTGAAGATTATTGAAGCTTATTATAATTATTTAGCTAATTCTAATACACATGAGTCATTCGCATCGTCATCATCTGTCACATAACCGTCAGGGCATGAAAATATTATCACCATTTATTCGGTTGAAAAGCTTTTCTCATTTTCATCTATCTTACACCTTTTTAAGAAATGTTGATCAAAAATGATGATTTGCGTTTTTAAATTCTCTTGGAATTTTCCTTTCTGGTGCCTGATTCTGTCGCAAATGATAAATTATGAATTGAAAGAGCAAGCTTTTAGTGACTTCATTTTATTTTCGTATTCTTCTCAGCAAACCCTTTCATTTTATACCCATATCATGGGGGTGCATAAAAAATAACTGATCCGGCATCTTTGAGAGTCCGCCATATTGGATAGAATGACGTCACTTACATAACCAAAATTTCAGCTCTATCGGTTGGGGAAACTGTTTTAAAATTTAGTTGCAAGATTTGACCCATACTAACAATGCAAGTAAAATAAAAACGTAAAAATATGATAAATAGCAAACGAAAAAGGTGCATGTTCATAAAAAAAGAACAAATTGGATTAGAAACGCTCGTTTGGAACGCGAAGAGACACTAAAACGCTAGCTATTGTATAACTAAGGCCTCTTACAATAGTAAACCGGCCGTACACGGAGGCACAAAAAATGACTCAGAACCCGGATCCGGAAAAATCCGGTGATTTTCTCTTTTGATATATGAAATTGACACTCTTGTTCGCATTTTCCAACTTTCAATAGTGCAGGATCTCTTGGGATCACAACTATTTCGATAATTTACGATTGATGTGATTTGAAATCGATGGAAATTGCAAGACGTTTTTGTTAAAACAATAAAAACATGCAACTTTCGAAATATGAGGTTCAAGATGAGCAAATGTGTTCTACTTATCTCCAGGAACACCCTCTCTATTGCACACAACCATTCGTACTCTAGCAAAAATTTGCACGTATTTTCAATTCGCCGCTTTTCGAGGGGTCAGTGGCAATTGAAATATGCTAATGTGTCACAGCATA